CCGGGACCGAACCGAACGGTTTCGGTTAAGGGCCGTGGCCCGTGGGTCGGGCGGGGAGGAAGGCACGGCTCGTGGAGCCGAGGGACGTGCGACTGCACCCGCGTGGTCATGGAGGCGCCGCCGCCGCCGCCGCCGCTACCCGCGACGACTCCGGCCCCCGGCCCCAGCCGAAGGCTACTGCTGCTGCCGCTACTGCTCTTTCTGCTGCCGGCTGAAGCTCTGCGGGGCTCGGAGGCAGAGGAGAGGCTCCGAACTCGCGAAGAGGAGTGCCACTTCTATGCGGGTGGACAAGTGTACCCGGGGGAGGCGTCCCGGGTTTCGGTCGCCGACCACTCCCTGCACCTCAGCAAAGCCAAGAGTAGGTGGTGCCCGGCCAAGGCGGGGTGAGCGGTGGCAGAGGGAGGCGGGAGGTGGAGAGGGCCAGGAGACACGTGTACTTTAGTTGCTGTGGCTACCCCGGGGCCTGGCTTTGGCGGTACCCCCTGGGCTGCCTTCAATCCCAGGGGGGAGCCTGACTCTCTCCTGTGAGGTGGAGGGGGGTTCCAGGTGTGAAGAAAGGGATGGGTTCCACTAATCAGATTTTGGAAGAAGTAGTGGTTACCCCAAAAGCCGCAGATTAGGGGACGAGCGTGGCCCTGGTCCCGGGCTTGCAGGCATCGGGGATGTTGTGCAAACTGAAACACTTCCTCAGACATTGCAAAGTGCCTGTAACACATCGCGTCTGTTTTCGAGTACTATTTCGGGGAAGAATGCATTGATAAGTTGAATAATGATTCACAGAAAGTTTGACTAAACAGAAAAGTGACTAAACAAAATGCTCAGGAGGATAAACATTTCATTTTTCTTTTTTTTTTGTTTTTGTTGTTGTTGCATCTTACAGAGAGTATTCAAAGCCACCTTCCCCAAAACCTGTATAGTTAATGGGTATTCTTTGTGTTTCTCAGAAATGAAGAACTTGTTACAGTGTGGACTGTGGAGGTTCTTTGTAGAGAAACCGAGGAAAGGAGGTTAGAAGTAATGCACTTGGGCTGATGATAAACCTAGTGCCAAATTTGTGTCCTGCCAATTTGCCTTTTGGTTATTTGCATTTCTGTCTAATGTACACAGCTAATGACCACTTTCAGGAAGGACACGTCACACTAAGTAGATACTGATAAAGTCGTGGCCTGCTGCATCTGGATGTTAAGACTAGCCAAAAAGAAGTGGCTAGGGGCTAAAAGATAAAAACTGTCCCTTGTTCGCATTTAAGTAACCTGCTTTTCCTACTGACCATTTGGCATTCTGAAGATGTTTATTGGCTTTTGTGGTCCAGTTACAGCATGTTCCGTGCCCATGTTCAGTGGAAAAAGTAATGCTGCACAATTCTGAATCCCCAGTGTTACATGGGATATTCTTATGACTTAGGATGGAGTGGGAGTGATAAATGAAAAAAAAACTGTTTTGCCTCCTTAAACATTTGCAGTTCTTTCCTACTGAAAGTTATTTTTGGATTTTTGTTTTTAAAAAAGCAAGTCTTGCATTTTTAAAATTAATATTTCCCAGTCCCGTTGGTTTTACTTGCCTGGGAAGATATTTTGAAATATGTCAGCCAGTTAAGTGTTTACTGGCATTATATATGTTTCCCATAACAAATCCCATCCAAGTCTGCTCATGGAAGCCAAAAATAGTAGCAAGAGATTTCCCTCTACCAGCAAACCTTTTCAAATTTTAGGTATTTGCTACATTTCTGTCATAGGTAGGCTCATCTAGAATTAAAGATACCAGGAGTTTTATTCATAAAATGTAATATTATGGAGCTATTAATACTTTCAAATAATTTTTAGTAACATGAAAAGCTGTTCATGATCTACTGTTTCATTTTTTTTAAGTGGGGTGCTACATGATCCAAATTTGTATGTTTAAAAAAGACTGGAAGGAAATAACATCAAAATGTTAACAGTAATTAAATTGGAGGGGGTTATGGGGACAGGGGATTTAAATATTCTTTATACTGCTCTGCATTTGCCAATCAATATCTTTGTTAATTATATGATTTATATTTGGGACAATTTTTGTTTGTTTTTTAATAGATTCAAGGGATTGCTTTGGAAATTCCATTTGTAGATCTTAGCAAACGGCATTCTTTTTGCCCTAGAAATTGATGACACTTTTTTTTGAACACTGCAGTTCTTAAATCAGAAACCCCAAATTTCCAAAATCAAGATTTTCAGAACAAAATTTTTCAGTTTTATTGGTTTTCCCAATATGCTACAATCATTAAGGGCTATCATTGTAGCACGTCATTACAATTATCACCTCACACTTCAGTAGCATTTTAAGTAACGTATGTAAAGCATATATAGTTCTGTATCCTTCTTCTATCGAATTCTCCCTTCTGGCCTTTATCTAATCAGAGCAGGGCATTTCTGTGAGCTAGGCTGCTGGTTCATGATAAGTAATCACATGTTATATATTAACTTCACAGAGAAATTCATCTTAAGTTTGTCTTTATTTTCGAAGTGACCAAACATGCTGGCTATTATACAAAATATAATAAATGCTGGCTATTACAAGCCTTACTTTCTAGGAACCTTAGTCAGACTTTGGAGCAAGTATTGGCTTTAATGTATGTAATGGTTCTGAAAATTTAAGTCTATCTGAATGTGTTAACAGAAGATCCAGGTACATTATTATCAAGGGGTGTTGGCTAGAATTACAGCATACCCTTACAAGAGAGCAGTGTGAGCTATTAAATTTCCATTAGGTCACTTGAAACCTATTCAAGGGGGTCTCCTCTTTCAAAGCCCTGAAAAGTAATCCCATAGTCTGGGATTTTTACACTTCTAGCCTGACATTTGCAAATTTCCTGCTCCTTGAAGGTAGCAGCAGGCCCTCCGTGTATATGTGAGAAACTGGAAAATGTTTAATTTAGTGTATCTGGAAGACTGCTGTTAGAGAATGGAAAATCTAATTACTTGAAATGTAGGAAGGCGATTGACTTGGAGTGGTTACAGTGAAGTATCCAGTAAGGTTTAGTGCAGGGAAGGAATGTAGGGGGTCTGTGAGCGTGAATGGGAGACAAAGTCTTCAATTTCACTAACCTCCAACTAAAATTTAACATTTCTTTCCATTATGAACATCAGCAACAAACCACATTAGCTTCAACAGTACTTGCTTGTACCTGTCTCCAGTATAATCACAGATGTTTTCATGCCACATTATGGTTGTTCCAAGTATACTGAAGCATTATTTATACTCATCATGATCCTGGGTGGTTAGTTATGAGATAACTGCTAGATCTTGCAGTTTTAAAGTGTTAATAATAGGGCACAAATATTATTATATCACCAATTTGGTTTTTGATATTTTGATAATTGCATTTCAGCATAATTGGTCTCCTTTGTAATTCTAAGTATTTTATTTTATGTGTTCAATAACACTAGCCTGAGAAGTCCATCAGCATCACCGCGATGCTGAAGAGGTCCAAAGATTTAGAAGCCTTAATTTTTAGTGATTTCCTAAAGATGTTCTTCTGTCATCCCACCAAACTTCTCGTTGTCATAGAACATCATATTTTTTTCTTAGTTTCCAAGCCAGCACCTTATTGGGAAGGAACAGCTGTGATAAATGGAGAATTTAAGGAGCTGAAGTTAACTGATTATCGTGGAAAATACCTGGTTTTTTTCTTCTATCCACTTGATTTGTAAGTAATACGTGTATATAGCAGCTAGCAAAACCTCAGTCAATATCAGTCATTATTCAAGAATATCCAACAGTTAGACATTATTTTATTTAGCACTTGTTCTTAAAGGACAAGCTGAGATGAATTTTTTTCAAGAAAGTAATACCCACTGGGTATTCCAGAATCATAACCATTGACCCCAATACTTTATACTTATATCCACATGATTGAGTTAACATAATTAATCATTAGAGAAAAACCACAGTTATATTCATTAATGCAAGAAAATGGATTGAGACTATTTTAGAAAGCATTTAATAACAAAACTTATGCGACAAATCTGATAACTGAAAAATGTATGTCTTTTTCTCTAGTGATGCCATTTAACTATGGTTTTATTATTTGTATTCTTTGCTGCATCTGTTGCTTTCCTGTGATTTGAACATTTTCCTGAAAATATTGCAAATGCTTAAGGAATAATACCTATTAATATGAATTATGGTTATGGGGAGTTCTCTTTCACTGTGTGACAGTGAACACTTGTAGATAGAAAGTTGACTCAAAGTAAATACTCTTGCAGCTTTAGACACATTGAGGATTTAATTTTGAGTGTTTTTCAAATTCCATGAAAGTGAAAAGATACCAAAGAGAGTTATCCCAACTTCTATCTTTTTTTAAATATATTTTTTGGTTACAAAAAGTAAGAAGATTCTTCTGTCTTTGCCACTGTATTATTAAGGTCCTTTTTCCGTTAGGACTAATCTAGAACTCTGTAAATATAATTTAAACTTCCAGGGAGGATATACTTAAGCTCCTGTCTTTTAGGCTGTCACTAGGCCAGGGGTAAGCAGACTTTTTCTGTACAGGGCCAGATAGTAAATGTTTTAGTGTTGAAATGATCTTTATTGCAACTACTCAACATTGCAATTGTAGCACAAAACAGCCATAGACAATAACAAATGAATAGTGTTGTGCTCCACTGAAACTTTATTTAAAAAAATTAAGATCGGCTGGATTTGGCCTGTGGAGTGAAGTTTGCTGACCCCTACTCTAATCCAAATAGAATTCTCATAAAAATTTGTACATTGGGGCTAAAACAAATCATGAATCTACATAATACGTAATCTTTATTAAATTAGTAAGAACTTGCTTCTTTCTAATCAACTTGTACTCTGGCTTGACTAGCTAAAATGTATGATATAACTTAATTTTTAATAGAGACCAGAAGTAGAAGTTTTTATATAAAATGATAGGCCTTCTAATTTCATGTTGCTGTAAAACCAAAAAGTAACACATGTTAAATATGCATGATGCTAAACCTGAATTGTGAAATTAGTGTAACATAGCAAGTATGCTGTTTCTCCAGTGTTATTTAAAACTCTGTAATGAGTAAGATGTATCTAATTAGAGCATGATGTTAGCAATGGTCTTCTCGGGCAAGGAGCTAAGAGAGCTTCTTTCTGTTTGTATGTAATGCCTGCCAGACTGGGCCTGGTTAGAGAAGGAAGAATCCTGGGGTATTTGCCACAGTCTGCAAGGAAGAAAAGTCACAAATGTAACCCTTTAGTTTTCTGCCAAAACTTTAAGTTGGGCAAATATCTCTCTAGGTAGCATTTCATGGGACAATAGGAAGGAAGACAGGGGCCAATCATTCCTACCTTTTGGAAAATATTAAAAATACATGTCATAGCCCAGGTTTCCAGGGACATAATCTCGATTAGAACTGTTTGCTTGCATATGGCAATCTTCCACTTGAACAACTGAGACATCTGAAAAGCCTGTCTTGGGGCTGTCGTGGGAACTTGTTGTCCCGAGTCTGTTTTTCAGACCTCCTTGACCATGACACACAGTATGAAATACATTTTTCACTTAACACATACATGCAGGGTAACATTCAGTTTGTACCAGTACAGCTGGTGCTCCTTAAAATACTGAAAAACTTCCATACCAACCCCCTCCCCAATTTGCCCTTCCCACCCTTTCAGAAACCCTCAGAGCTAAAACCAACCCTGAGTTAAGATGATTAAGTATTTGTAATATCACTCCTGAACACACACACATATATATGCACTTATGTATACATATGTTTCATAACTTACTATGTGTGACATATTCTCATATTTTCTATTTTACTTTTTAAAAATGTTGGTTGGAACTCAGTAAGTTGGCTTAAGGAGTCCCTAACATGGTTTGAAAAATACTCCCCTAAGGTAGTAGTCTCCAAACATGCCCTTCTGACAAAAGGACTGGGAGACAAGGTAGAAGAGGACCTTCTCAAGAAAGGGAGGGCAATGGTAGAGGATTTCCTCATCTCCAAAATTGATACAGATGCATCTAGCTCATGGGGTTCATATAGGAAGGTTTAAGAAAAAGTGAAATGAGGTAAAATTTGTATAGATGTTTAAAAGCTGTAAAGCACTATGTAAAGTATTATTGAACAAAAGCTGACAAAATGGGGGTGCTGCCATAAGAAGGGACCATTGGTTCATCTCTGATCCATTAATTTATATAGTTTATCAAGATGTAATTGGGAACTCTGTAATATACTTTTTTAATTAAATGATATTTGATCAAATGACAGTGTTTTAGACTACATCTTGAGAAGGTTCATAAATTGTTCTTAATGTTCATTTTTATATACTAAAGGTGTTTATAAAAACAAAATCATTCAAAACTTTAGGTATCTGTGTATTTTGAAGATAACGATTTTTTTTAACTTTCAGCACTTTTGTGTGTCCAACTGAAATTATCGCCTTTGGTGATAGAATTGAGGAATTCAGATCGATAAACACTGAAGTTGTAGCATGCTCTGTGGATTCACAGTTTACCCATTTGGCCTGGTCAGTATCTTACGCTTAACATTTGTAGGGAAAAGAATGGATATACTCTTAAATTATGGGCAGACAACTCTTAACATGACAGGAATATAGTTATTTATCAGACAGTTCAGGAATAAATTTATCTGAGAGCTACTAGTTCAATGAAAGTATGGTAAAATGCTGAACAATTTAATAGGACATTTCATATTTTGAAAAACAAGTCAAATTCAAAAGATGTAATATCCATAGCAAAAACTAATGAATTGTATGATTATTATGACTAATTGGGTAACTTTAATCTGGAGGAAAATGTTTAAAATATCATTTCTCTCTGTTACACAGTTGTCTAGTTTAAGTCAAATTCAAAACAGCTTTTATTACTTTTTAAGAAGAAATGATCTTTTAAAATAATTCTTTAAATAATTTTTTAGTTCATTAAACATGAAAAGATGTTCCACCTAATTAATTGCAAAGAACTGAAAATTAAACTGACAAAAGATGCCATTTTTTTCCCTGATTGGCCAACAGTTCAAATATTTAAGAATTTCATCTAGTGTTGACAAAGGTGTAAAGAAATAATACTGTCACATACACATTTGATTCAGCATTTCTGGAGAGCAGTTAGGCAACATGTTTCAAAATTTGAAATGTGCATGTTGACATGAGTTTTTCTTTTTTTTTAACATTTTTTTATTGAGTTATAGTCATTTTACAATGTTGTGTCAAACGTGAGTTTTTAAACAGCGTCCTCAATTTTGTTCATAAAATCTTATGCACAATAAAGATTGTTCAGAATTATTTTGGTTTTAAAACTTAACATTCAATTCATTAAAGTAACAAATTCAAAACAGGTTTTTCTTCATTTACACATTATGTATATATGTAACTAAATGTAAATAGCAATAAGTGTAAATTATATGTACATATATGTGCATATGTATGTAAAATTTTAATTAGTTCAGGAGCTACAATTTAAATTTAATTTACATTCCCTTAAGTAATTGATTCTCTGAAGTATTTTAAGACGCCGTTATATATTTAATATATTTGATTTAAATATCTCAATTTTCAGACAAACCTTCCCAAGAACTTAAATAATAAAAATAAAAATTAAATTATTTAAATTAAATAATGAAAACACAAATCCACTAAGGAAAAAGTTACGTCATTCCAAAAAGTTTGAGATTGCTTTCCCAAGGGAGCTTTGGGAATACATTCTCAGCTGTATATGAGATGTCATGTATATGGATGTCAGAACTAGGGCTGCAGACATCTGGAGCATTATTTCCCCGTTTTCTAGCTGCTGTGTCAGTGTCCTGCCCTTGAGGCCCCAGTCCACATCCTTTGGTTTCAAGTTACAGAATACTTAAATCTGAAGATTGATGCTGTGAGATTATAAGTAACTTCCTTGCTGCTTCAAGTGGACTTCACACTTCTTTGTCTCTCTGCACATGAAAATGCCATCCAGTTGCATTCTGCCTGTCTCACAAGGCTATGTCTTGCAATCACAATTTTAAGGTTATGCTTATGACACTGCATATCCTTTGATCCTTAATTCCACTTCTAGGAATTAATCAGACAAGTGTACAAAACTGAGAATATAAGGATTTTCCAGCAGTATTGATAAAAGTGAAAAAAAAGATACAGTTTCAATGTCTGTCAATAGAGATTAGCAACATATAGTATGTCTATACATTTAAAAATGTGATGTATATCTCCATATTTAGTGTTTAAAGGATATAAATATATTAAGTGGGGGGGGCGCAAGAAAATAGACTGTATACTAGCCTGTCTTTGTTAGAGAAAGAATATGATGTGTGTGTTTGCATATGCAAAGAAAGAGTGTTGACTTTTAATATATGCCATTTACTTAACCCTGAGAGGTAAATGTTCTGTTTGTTACAGGATTAATACCCCTCGAAGACAAGGAGGACTTGGGCCAATAAGTATTCCACTTCTTTCCGATTTGAACCATCAGATCTCAAAGGACTATGGTGTCTATCTGGAAGACTCAGGCCACACCCTTAGGTACCTTTCAGTGATTTTACACTATGATAAATACAAATGTGTTTGTAATCCTCCTTGAAATGGAGTTAGAAGGTACAAGGTTAGATCAAGAAATATATGCTCTATTTACAAAAATGTTGTAAAGATACCGCTAAAAACAATTGGTAAGCACCCTACTTAGTAACTATTGGGTTGAAATCCATATTGACTTAAATAAACAGATAGTAAAGTCCTTTGAAAATGTTTATCACTAGTATACTTTAACTCTTGCAGTGCTACCCCTATCTCAATAGCAGGTCTTTTAGGTCAAACTATTGCATTATTCCCCAGGCTGTAGTAGTGAATCACCGATAGAGAGATTGAGAAGGAAAAGCAATTTCCATATTGGTGACCTTGTCTTTTTCCACCACTGAAAAGGGAAATACAAAGACATTCTAAATAGCCAGTGATAAGAAAGATCACTCACTTGTTCACCCACAGGAAGGCTTTGCTGTGTAGTTTCATCATTTCATTTACATTACAATCCCAAACCTAGTACACATGAAGATTCCACTGTAAACAATACAGTACATTTCATTGACAAAAAACAAATTTTAAAGCTACCATTTCACAGTGATAATCCCAAAATATACAGTAGGTAAGCATGGGTATGCGGGTGTGGACACGTGCATAGAGCTAAGTAGGTAGGCAGTGTGTTCTGGGCTCTGGATAACATCCTTCTGTGGGTGGAACAGGGATTCACATTAACTAGTATTTGTCTTCACTGAGAACACGTGCCCACACCTTTACCGTTCTATGTTTTACAGAGGTCTTTTCATTATTGATGACAAAGGAATCCTAAGACAGATTACTCTGAATGACCTTCCTGTGGGTAGATCCGTGGATGAGACACTGCGTTTGGTTCAAGCATTCCAGTACACCGACAAACACGGAGAAGGTGCCCTTTCCTTCTAACCATCATGGCCTTTTGATTTTTCAGTTTGAGAGATAGTAGCATAATTAGTTTGGTTTCTTACCTTAAAAGTAATTTGGATGATTCCAAAGTCTTCTGATTGATTGTTTTCAGATTATTAGATCTTTTAAGCAGATCAAATTATAATTTAAAGTGCTTTTAACAAAATATCACTAATATAGTCTACTTACTGAAGAGGAGGGGGGAATAGTATTATTTTCATAGTCCTTTTAGAAGAGCTCAAGGTTTCTGCTACTGTAAATTTTCAAATTATGTTTCTGTAAAGTTAAAATGTACCAGCCAATCTGGCAATGTTTAGTAATGTACATTTTATTTGCATGTTTATATTATTTGATTTCCCTTTTTTTTCCTCAAAGTAATTCAGTAATCCTTAAGGTTATTCAGCATCATACTAGTAATCCATCAGTTCATCCTTTCACCCCAAGTTTTTGCAGTAGCCAAACGGAAAAGGTCAGATTCTTCTTAAAGTAGAACATATGTTATATATCCCTTTTAAAAATGTAACTTGGTGCCTGGCTCAGGCCGCATTCCAAATCAAGGAGAAAATCCTACCTTCTGAATAATTTTAAAGTCTCTTTGGACAGTGAACCATGGCATCAGTACAAAATACTGCAGGACACAGCAGATAAGTTTAAGGGAATATACATTCGAAGAATTTTTGCTGTGCTCAGACCTTTCAGTTCATCAGATTCCCAAACTTTCCAACTTTATGAGAGGAAGACTCATTTTGGTTTCTTATATTATAAATGTAACTAAACATAACTGACAGAAATGAAAGTAGATTAGCTGCCTGCTAATAAGCTCTATGACTAAAATTCCTTGGTATGAGCAGGTAAGCTGACAGAAGTCAAGTGTTCAGTGGCCTAGAAATGTTCTCATTAATATAGGCTCTATTTTCAGCTTTATTTGGAAAAAGAAAAGCTCCGAGTTGCTGAAGAGAACTGAGTTCTAACTGTCTTTTGCCAATTTCTGTTCTTTCAGTCTGCCCTGCTGGTTGGAAACCTGGTAGTGAAACAGTAAGTCAAACTGATTTTTCTGTTAAGCGGGTGGCCAGAGCCAAAAAAAAATGCCAACCCCAGGATAATCTTTCCTTGTAATAGAACTGTCTTGATTTTGTAAAGGGAAGTCAATGCTGCTAGGCAGAGCTCCTAGGAGCACATGCTTCTTTGGACTGGAGGGAGAGCAGCTGAAACTGGAGAAGCAGAACATGGGACTTAGTACTGTGAACTTTAAAGCCAAGTATCCAGAGAAACATATGATTTAGAAAGCAGGAGGAACAGTGGAAACTTAGTAGAATAAATTCAGGGCAAAGAAAATAGTCACAAGCAAAACTTCTCTATGTATAGTAAAAAGCTTTTGAGAAAATCTGCCTCAGTTAACCCTGAAGCTAATGCTTCTCTCCTTGTCATTTGAAGGAAGAAAAGACTGAAACAGGTACATTAATTTAGGAAGGCTGTATAATTTACAGACAATCTCCGAAGTAGTCTCTGGCCAAAAGACAATTTGGAAACTTGTCTCTACCTTTTTAAAATAACATTCATGTAAAAATCAAGAATTTTACACAAACTGTAGTTAGGAAATTGAAAAATACTAGAGCATTGGAGGGAGAAATCATTATCTTAGAGTAAAAGAAAAATACAGACATAAAATAAGGATTATATTATAAAATTATATTATAATTATATTATAATATAAAATTATATTATATTATAAAATTATATTATAAAATAAGGACTTTCTTCCTTAACAAACCGAAAAAAGCATGGTTAGTAATAGACAATGAGAAGTAGAAATGTACTCTGTAAGCTTACACAGATTAGGTAAAGTAATATTTCACTGATTTGATGGGTTTGCAAAACACCTTTGCCTCTGAGGATCAAAGTTGATGTTACAATACCAATTATTCACCTCTACCTCTACATAGATCTGATGGCTCTCAGAGGGGGTTTGAAGTTACGCATTAAAGGTACTTTGAGCACTAGGTAGTTTATAACTTAGTCACTAGGTTAGTTTACAATTATGAATTGTGAGGCTTACAAATAGAAATATGAATAGAAGCTGCAGGCATCACCTGAGAAGGCTTAAAAAGCATTTCTGGATAGGTCTTCAGCATAAGGAGCACTTTGCCTTGGAGCTTTTTTAGCAAAACCAGCAGTGACAAATGAACACCACCACCTTCGATCACAGGCAAGTGCTGAGCAAGAGCTCCCAAGGACAGATTAACTCAGAAGGGTATCATAGGATGAGGAGTTGACATTTCAGAAAACATGTTGACTATCTACTGGATTAACTTTGGGGGGGGCACAAACCCCTAGGATTATATTTTTATATAGGGATAGAGATACTTTACCTCTAACTCGCAAGTAACAGTTAATGTGAGAGTTTTTTTTTAAGTCCAGGAGGTTTCTAGGGCTGTAATGCTCCAGGAGGGAGCACTTATTTTAGAGTATTTTTCCATTCAGTAAATAGTTATTCAGGCTATTTTTAGAGTATTTCTTTTACTTTGCAGTTTGAGATTAAAAGGTTACATTCTAGACCTCCAAAAAAATCCAGCTGAACACACTACCCCCTTTTCAGATTGTAGCATACCATCACTTCAGCAGCAGATGACTTTAAAAATACATTAACATCTGTAGCCATGCTCTCTTAATGTGTTTGACTTAATTAGATCAAACCTGAAGATGCCATGAAAGCCTGGTGGCCAAAAGAAGAGCTGTAAGTAAATCTGGGGGTGCTTGAGTACAGATGTTAATTGACTAACAAATGATTTGCCTCTTGGGATAGCTGAGATTAGCAGGTATGACAAATCCAGGTTTTCCTAAACATATATAATTTGATACACAATTATCTTCTTTAGTCAACAGATGGGCAACTAATGTCATAGTAATGATGTACTTAGGCTTTTTAAATGAATAATTTTTTTTCTTTAACAGATAATCCCAGATCCAGCTGGAAAACTGAAGTATTTCGATAAACTGAACTGAAAATACTTCCTCAGGTCATGATGCTTGAAACTTCTCAGTAAAGTTCACCATTGTATTACCACACTGTGTTACAGCAGTAATTTCTTGAATATAAAAATCCATGTCAGAGTCCAAAGACACTAAGTGTTCAAGTTAGACACTGATGCTAAAAGGTAGGCAGTTATTCTCTATCTTTCCAAAATAAGAAATGTCAGATTAACTCAAACTAGTAACAGCAATAGTAACTAACATTTATGGAGTACATGCCAGGTGCCAGGCGTCGTTAGGAGGTTAGAGGTGTTATTTTACTCAATTCTCACAGCAACTCTTTGAGTTCTTTATTTTACAGATGAAGAAATAGCTGTCTAGCAAAGGTACAATCAGTCTTTGAACCCAAACAGGCTAATTCTAGTTTCTGGGCTCTTAAGACTCCACAGTGGCTCATCTCTCTGTACCTTTGGGAGGCTGGAAAGAAGAGGTTTTAAGCACAGTCCCCTCCATAGCATGTGGTAGGGACAGCTGACCCCAGAGCTCACTGCTCCAGATACAACAAAGTCCTTTGGACCCCCCTTTTTTTCTAAATTCACATTTTCAGCTTGTACCAAATTTATAAGTAACAATATGTTTATATTTAGTTTAACAAATAAAAGTTGAATCACTAAATATATGTAGCCAACTATTCACAACCACATATAAAGCTGAACTCCAGTACTATTCCATCACCCCATTTACCACCCCAATATGGCAGCGGCTTTACTATAATTATCTATAGACATGCCATGTAGTAAAAGGACCCAAGAGAATTTGCCTCATCCTGTCTTCCATGCTAATCCGTTCTCAACACTGACAAAAAGCTCCTCGCCCCAGGGGAGGCCATCACTAGAATTGGGGGTGTACTAGCCTCCTGGCTGACACTCAAGTTCTGTCATAAATGGCGAGTGATTAGTGACAGGCATGTGGACATGGGAATTCAACAGCCATTTATAACCCTTCACTACAGCAAAGTATTTTCCAAGTATGGAATCTAAAAAAAAATGGTACAAATGAACTTACTTACAAAACAGAACTAGAGTCACAAATACAGAAAACAAACTTATAGTTACCAAAGGGGATAGCAGGGGGTGGGAAGATAAATCAGAAGTTTAGGATTAACATATACATGCATTACTATATATAAAATAGATAAACAAGGACCTACTATATGGCATGGGGAACTATTCAATGTCTTGTAGTAACCTATAATGGAAAAGAATCTGAACTATATAAAGAATGAATCACTTTGCTGGATACCTGAAACACAACATTGTAAATTATACAATTTAAGAAATGATTCCTAAATACAAATAAAGCCCTGCTTCTCCCTCACATTTCTGATCTTCTATTGAATACTTCGCAGGTAAGCCTTGCCAGCGTTCTGAGCTTCGCAGTGGTTGTGGCGGACAGCTCTTTCAGGGATTTCTTAGTCTCCAGAATTTCATGCAAGGAATCATTCCCCCACTCCCATCATTTCCTCCATATCCAAGGGTATACCTAATCCTACATCCTAAACTACAGCTGTCAGTAGACTTCCAGGTTTTATATTTTTTTCTCAAATACATTAACCACTATTCTGTTAGTTAATGATATTTTTATACTCTTAACTCCCCCATATGATATCATGGAATACATCCTTGTATTTTGTTACCCATGAGCTTTCTGACAACACTATGTCACTGAAATTTCTTTGAATAGAATTACTAATATATGAATGGGAAGAAATGCATATTTCAGATGAATAGCTCCATAAAGGTCACCATGCCAGGGTGTGTGAGGGTGTCTGTGTGCATATTCATGTGTTTGTATATATATATACATATTACACATATACATACACATACATGCACACTCCTCTAAAGTCACTGAATTTTTTACTTAGCTTTTAAAAGAAAAATGCTTATCATAGTTACTATGTATTTAGTCTTAGATAGCAAAGCAGTGTGTACCAATTCCATTATTAACATGGTAACAGAATTTGGGCATAATGTACACTTACATAAAATCCTAAAACTACGTTTTTAAAGATCTACCTTCCTGAGGCTTAAGCTTAAAATTTTTTAAACAAATCCAAAAGCCAAGTTACACCCAAATTCACCTAAATTATGCATTTGTTCATACAGAAATTATTTATGACCTGCACAAGTGCAAGGTACTGTGCTGGCAATACAGGTAAAAGGATATGACACAATCCCTTCCCTCAAGAAGCCCACAGTCTCCCAAAGGAAATCAGCAGGTTAAAAAGAGCAATACGGTGAGTAAGTGCTAAAAATGCTGACATCTGTGTTGGCTCCAAGGCCAACAAGAGCAACGACAAGGAAAGACAGAGATGAGAAAGGTGTCACAAAGAAGGGGAGGTGCAAGTCCACTTCCCACTCCTCCAGTGAAGGCTGTATCAGGTGCCAATGTACTCTCCTGTAAAAAGGCAGTACTTGTGACCCAACCTCAAGAGAAAAGCGTTGACTGATTTTCCTCTCATGATAATCTACTGGGAGATGGTACACAGTTTAGAGTTGACTGGCTAGGGTTACAGGTTCAGTGTGTGGCCAACAATAGACGGGAGGTAAAAACTGAATCTGCAGGTGTGAGTTCCTTAACTTCCAGCTCTGGCCACATGTACAGCTCAGCCAGGACCTCAGGAAAAAAATTTGCAAGTTTTGTATCAAATGGAGTTACATTTCACTGTAACCCAATGGCCACGAGAGGGCGCCCGATACACCAAAATCCCAACTGCCTTGTCCTGAGGCCCCCTTTCAAGATAAACTAGAAGAGCAACAACTAACGCTCAAAGGTTTTTTGGGGGGAGGGTATAGCTCAAGTGGTAGAGTGCATGCTTAGCATGCACAAGGTCCTGGGTTCAATCCCCAGTACCTCCTCCAGTAAATAAATAAATAAACCTAATTACCTTCCCCTCAAAATAAAAAAAAGCTCTCAATTGTTTCTTATTTTGTACAAATCTAATTTAGGGGGAAAAAAGAAAAAACTTAAAAATTGAGACTAATTCAAAACTAAGTACAACTCAAGTTAGCATCTTAATTTGTACTAAGAGTATGTCTTCCATCAATGACCATGACCCAGTTAGAAGTACATTTTATATTGTGACCTAGCACACCTGTAAATGTGTGTGCACCATGCAGAGGCATAACATAACAAGTTTCACACAACACTTAACCATTACTATGCGTGACAGTTGGATCTTTTAGTTTTGTAATGTTGGCCACAATCCACTAAATGTCATGACCCACCAATGGGCCATTTTTTTTTTACAAATACATACATATATATATACTTAAATTTATATATGTATACGTGTAAATATAAAAAAATCAGGATACAATAAATGCCTGGCATATCAATACCTTGTCATATGTAATTTTCACTTTCCCTCCATTACAGTTTTGTTCATTTGTTTTAGCCATACTATCCCACTAAAGGTGCACGATTCCTGTGACACAAAAACCAAAATATCCCACCCTTTCTTTTGTTACTATAATCCTTTCTCTGAAGTATTAATTTCTCAATGCCACTGGCTTACTGAATGGTTTTCAGAAGGACCTGCTTTATTCTGAAGTTCCATTTTCTTTGGCATATGCATCTTTAATGGAACTTGATTTTTCAAATGATCGAAGTTCATTGGTAGTCATTACAATGTAGTCATTAAAATATTTCACTAACCAAACAGGCATATCAAGTGAAAGCCTAAATCAGGAAACTCTGGAATGAGAAAACTGCCTCGCCTTTTATGGAGAAGGAAACAGAACCCAAAGAGATGAATCCTCCATCCCAACCCTGAACTTGCTGGATGCAGATGTAGGAGAGACCTCACAGGTGCGGACATTGGGGCCAGCACCACTTCTCAAGTCACACTGCCGCCCGAAACCCACCCGCTGGACCAAAGGACCCCAAAGCCACCTCGGATTGATCTCCTTAGATCAAAATAATCTCATGACACAAGAAGCAATGTGATTAGTCAAAAACCCTTAAATCTGTTTTTGAACTTACCAAATCCGTATTTTTAATTCCTCTTTCCTGTTACCTATTTTAAAGTAATTCATTATTTGTTGCCAAGGGAGAAAACATTCACAATTCAATTTAGAGTCAATCACAACTGTAGCAAATTTTTTTTCTAAGAGGAAATTGAAACAAATGCCAGAAATATTTCAACCATCCTTGTCTCTTACAGTTGAGACCTAATTATATTCTGATATAAATTTTATATATATGTGTGTGTGTAAATCACCACTTAACCCCTTTATCACACTAGCTAAGAAAAATATGTATGAAAGTGGCAAAGGGCTGTGGGAAGTTACTTCTCTGAGCCTAACTTTCCTCATCTGCAAAAGCGAGTAATGGTCTTGCCCTCAAATGGTAAGTTTAAGGATTAAATGAGAAAATCCATTTTGATGTCATTAGCGCAGTGCTATGGATCCAATATGTGTTAGTCATACATAAAAATTCTTATTTTGTGGTGATTACATTCTGTGACTGATTTTTTTGCCACACTGAAGTAACATACAAGTTGCCATGGGGTTCTATATACCAAATAAAGAATCTCTACTTCCAAATGTTTTCATGGTAAAGCATAAAGCACTAGATTTCAGCTTGAGGCTCTTGCACAGAAACAGAATAACACAAACTTGTATTCTCTGTATCAAAATGGAGGCAAATATCTTATAAACTAACCTTCACCATCCTCCCGATGCACTTCCTTTCACCTCCCTCTCTTAATCTATAAAGGGTCATAATGCTTAAAAATCATTATTCAGAATTTGTTGTAAAGTTAAATGCATTGTTACCAGTTAACATTTTATAAAACATCAGCAGTGACAGCAAGCAAGTACACTCCTGTTAAAAAGTAAGACTGTCAACCCTGGCAAGCTGGAGAGTCAGTCAGATCTAAAATATTGTCCTAAATCTGTATTTAGGAAACATAATACTACTATTCGATTCTTCATAGCAAGGGCATAATGATTTGACAATATACATACTTTGACAATATATATCCTGCCTTTTCATGTTACAAAGTAGAATACAGAGTATTGTTCTTGCTT